TGATAGTTGTTGAAGTAAACATATAATAATAAAAAAATATAAAGAAAATTAATATTAACAGCATTATTATAGTAATATTTTACTGAACTTAATGAAGAATCTGCAGTTTAGAAGAGATAAAGCTACCATTCTTATATACCAATAATTTAATATGAAATATTAATTGAATAATAAAGAATTTATAATTTACATACAAAATAAAATTTAATGTTGAAATAAGCAGTCCTTCTGCTCTTATACAAAAGTTATATAGCTTAGTTTTCTAATTGTTTAACAACATTTAATTTTCAACTCAAAAGTATTGATTTCCGTTATTTACAAATCATATAGAATTCGATCACATAAATTATTTTCCAATTCTATTGGGAGATGATAATGATAATATGTCATTTCGCAGTTGGAGCATTTTAGTAGGTAATACATAATTACGTCGAAATTAATGCGAAATGGTGATGGATTTTGGAAATTGCGAAGTGATAAACATGCAAAAGCATTACAATTATATAGGATATTTTCAGTTTGTTATAAAGTACAAATGATATAGTACGTTGGGTTCTTTGGAAATGCATTTTTCGCGAAAATTCGATGTAAGGTGTTTGAAACTTATAATTCTTGTTATGCAATGTTTTCTTATGAATACCCACTATAAGGATTCACGAGTGACTTTTCGTCCAGTTTCATCATGTTTTTTTTATTTAATCTTAAAATTAAGTCCTAAATTATAAGATTAATTTGGATTTTGACTAAACATTAAATTTAGTTTTATCAATAATAAAGCGTTGTTATTTTGTGAAGCATTTCATATTTACTAATCGGAAGATTTACAGAAGACACATATGAAACTTTGAAAAATGGCGCCAAATATAAAGTCGGTGCTTTTACCGAGTTAACGTAAATAACTTTAAATGAAAATTGACAAAAAAATTGAAAAATTTTTATAATTACGTTTTAATCAGATTGACAAAAGTTAAGTTTCAGTATTTTCGGATTATAATAATTAGTGTGTCTAATTAATTGTAAAGTAACAATAAGTTCTTAAACCTATTAGCAAAACTTTGAAAATATTAGCAACAGTTTAACATACTTGGTACGTAATTAAACATTTTTTTATACTTACCAGAGCACTCACCGCGTTCATTTTTCCGTATCTCCATTTTTTTAAACATACATTTTTATTAGTTCTGTACTCCTGAGGGATCAGAAGAAATGTTATCAAATTATGGTTACGAGCGATGAGTGTTTCAGCGGGGGTTTGTAGGTTGGGAGCCGTTTCAAGGCGCACCCATTTTCCGCAAATAATGCCGCATTAATTAACCATTATCTTAACGGGCGTTCAACGGCGCCCCGACGACCGGCGTCGGTTTACTACCGCCATTCAGAACCAAACAACCGCAATTGCACACCACTTTTATTGCACTCTCAATAAAAAAAATATTTATATTATTTCGCTAATTGTTGTTTGTCGTGAACATAATACAACAAAAATACGACTAAAATAAGTTTATAAATTATAATTAGAACATGAAAGATCATTATTTGCAACGTATATAAATATTGCAAAGATTCAAAAAATATTTCAATTGTTACGACAATTTTTAATTTAATTATTACCATAGTTATCTTGTATATATATTTGAAAATCTACTGAAATTTCACACAAAATCTGTTAATTTCCTCATATTCAGTATATATTTTGAAGTAAAAAGTTCTGAGCGTTTTGTCCCAAACATCGACCTTCTTCTTGATATCAGCCTTATGTAAATGGTTTTCTAGATAATCTTCAGTTCCTGACAAAGACATTTTTTAAAGAGTTATGTCGCCTTTAATTCGCAGTATAGAATGATAAGATGCAACGTATACATTGTGAGATATGGCTCAGTAAAGCCATCTAACGAAATAAATCTCAGAACTTTTTACTTCACCCAATATTAATAAATATTTGCATCCAATCTTGAAGTATCTTAATAAGAAAGTAATAAAATTTAGGACAATGTCGCAAAGGGTGTTTATGTTTTTTTAAATTATTAACTTAGGTCAATATGTATATACTAAATTACAAAACTTATATAATAGCAATACAATTCCTAAAGTAATAACTTGTGACGTGTAGTGTCATGTATATTTACTTGTTAAAATATTAGCACCGTATTCAAATAAACACTTGCCTAATACACATTTACTTGTCTAAATATGAATTTCCAAATAATTTTCTGAATTATACTTGGAAAATTATTTGTAGAGGCGAGACGGAATTTTCTACACATCTTTTTTACGTTTCATTCATTTTGTTCATTGTATTTGCAATATCTAATAAATCGAGATTTTGTTATATGTAAATTGTTATAATAATTATTACACATCTATATCGCATATATAATTATGTATGATCAGAACATAATTCATTAAAAAATATTAAAATTAAAAAAATATCAATTGTTATTTATTTCATAACAGATATGATAAACTTGAAACAGCGGTTAATTATGATAGGGTTATAAAGCATAGTGATTCTGTTGATTGTTATATATATATACCGAAAAAAAATTTGTGAAATATGAAACCAATTCATTATTTGCAATAAAAAAAGGAATGGTGAGCAGAGGAGAGTAGAATAGGACAGGGGTGTCGTGTGAAATGAAGAGCCAGACGATAAAAGTGAAGCGTCGCGTGTGCTCGTGTGCCAAGCAAATCTTTTACGGCTTCATTTGCCGAACATATAATCCGAAAAGTAATCCAATAACACAACGTCCGCCCTCACTTTTATGATCACATAAAGAAAATAGGCAGGGCAATCAAAATAGGGCGAGAAAATAGCCTCTAAGGTTTCGCGTATTTATCACATACATACATATACGCATCTTTGTTTTTTTTTTGTAGACAAATATTTACTTCGATGGGCAATCTCCAGCGAGAAAATTGCGTTCGTTAAATAAATGGACCCTTTATTGCATCTCATCTCTTTGAGAAGTCAATAGTCTTATTGTGAAAGTTAATTTTATTAAACATTTCCAAATTTTCTTGCATTTTTTTTAAATGTATGTTAAATTAATTTCACAATCTAAGAAACAATTATTGTATCAGTTTATTTATGTAATTATAGTTATAAATTAACATATATGAAATAAATAATTGATTTTTTTTCTTCAATGAAAGAAGAGATTATTAGAGAGGACATATTTATATATTTATATGTATTTATACTGAAAGCGATTAATTACAGTTTATTAATAAATATATAAATTATCTTTGATCTTTAAAACTCCGAAGAGCTCACAGAATTATTTTATTTGCAAAATTATATAAGAAAACAATATTAAAAGTTTATTTAAATTTTGAAAATGTATACATAAAAAGAAATATAAATATTTCATTACTATTGTAATAAACTAAATTGATTATGCGGAAGTCTTTTGATGAGTTCCAAAATATTTAACTTATAAGCTTAACCGCAATAAAAGTTTCTAAATCTTGCGAACCCTCAAATCCGACACGCGAAGTTTACCCGACATAAATTATATAAGAGATTTATTTAAATTATACAAGTTTCCCCGGTTTTAATATAGTCCTAAACATTTCGTCTGTTTCTTTTCGAGCGCAATAAATTTTCATTTCGTCATGAAATATTTCCGTGTAAAGCATGTACGAAGCATCGCACAAACACATACATACTCATATATGGTTTTGCGTTTATGTGTGTACATATATATGTATTTGTGTATATGTTGGTGCAGAAGGGGGGGCTCCGACCAAATTGATAGCTATTTGTGAATTCAGTTTCCGTCGGGTCGACTAGAAAACTTTAAATTCCCGAGTTCGCAACTGCTCTAAGCACTGCACCGAACGAGAGCATACAACTTCCCTGGAAACCGCAAACTTTTTCCTGTCTCATCCTAACTTACTAATGCAACCCCAACAAGAAAACAAAAATAAAATAAAGGCGAAATATGTACAGAAGACGAAAAAAAAAACATAAAGAAGAAAGAAAGAGCGAAAATAACCCGACAAGAAAAAATAGAAGGAATATCCATATAGCAGGGCTAGAATGCTAAAGTATTTTTCCGGGTAAAACTTTCATCGGCGTTTTAGTTTCTATTTTCATTATTTTATTCTCCGCATATAGCAAAAGTAGTTTTTTTACGCTCGATTTGCTGTTTATTTATGTAATCCTTTTTATAAATTTGAAAATTTCCTATTGCTATTACTTTTTGCGTGGTTGTTGTTGAGAGATGCGATCATTACTGTAATGTATTCACGTTATATTTCCATAATATCTCGATTAATTAATGATTCTCTTGCTTAATGACTGTTTTGATTATGCATAAACGTATACAGTGGGAGTTTTTACAGCTAACATGTAAAGAAATATCAAGGCTTGCAATTATGAGTAATTATAATTCTTATATTATGAGAAATATTACTATTTATAACCATTTTAAGCAATGTAAAGTATATTGCATAAATAAATAAGTTTATATTTGCTAAGTTTAAAATGGAACAATTCTGTAAATAATGAAATTTTACTTGAATTAAAATAGGTATTTTTCTTAAAATATTAGTAATATGTTTAGTTGTAATATATTCAATATTTGATGATTACAATTTAATATTTATTTTTTTTTGTATGTCGGTGTGGACTTTAGCCTCTTACAACATTATTCTTTGATGTAAATAAATTATAATTAGAATATTTAAAAAAAAAAACAATTTTCCTGATTTAAATATTTTTTGTTTAAACTCTTCATTTTTTTATTCTAGTAGTAGTTTAATATTTCATGTAAATTCAATTTTTAGTTGAAAGTTTTGTCAACTTTGTTTCAATCATTTTGTTAAGTATGTAAATTATTATTATTAACTCTTAAAATATTAATTTTTAGTTGCAAAATCTTCAATTACTAACGATTTACTAAAATAAATCGTCAATTTTGAAGAATTTGAATGTTATTTTGTTTGTTAATTATTTATTTTAATTATTAATATTTTTTCATTTTTTCTATTTTCAGATACGTTGGTCAATCCATTTTCTGCAAAATCTACTACTAAATTGAAGGTAAATTATTAATTTATGTTTTATTTATAATATAAATACTACTTTATGAATTGGAAAGTAGATTCATGACTGTAATTTAAAACTGATTTGTTTTTTGCATATTACAGGATATTTCATCTTTCATTATAATACCGTAACAAGAGCATTATAAATAGTTTCGTAATTCCGTTATTAAATGAAATGGAACAATTCTGCTTGTTTCAATGTGTTTAATAGAATTTCTGGTTGGCAAAGTTGGTAAACAATATGTGATTAAAGTTGTGAATCCATTAGCGCGCGTCCATCCAGCCACGGATAACAACAAATAGATTATAATTTAGGCCCACAATAATTAATTATTTCGCTGCTTAGTGTTGATACTTTGGGTATAATTAATGGAGTGAAAATGTGTATGTTGTTCCGTTTGGATATGCGGATGCGTGGATGAGAAGGATCTGAATCCGAAGCTGCCCATCGAGACATTTGCACTTCCTGTTTCTCCACTTCTCTAATTAGTTAATTACGCGCCACCGACACCAAATTCACTATAAATAAATTAGCATTGCGCCACCACCACCGCCGCCAACCTTAATGGAACTCATCAGCACTCCAACGTGCCCATAATACAAACTAGACCAAATTTTCAACCCCAAAACAAATTGCATTGTCTGCTTAGGTTTGTTGAACCGCAAACGCAATTCGCCACTCTTTCATTTTCCATAATTTTTATTTTATTGCTGTTATATAAATTTGTCATTTCACATTTCACTTTGTTCAATAAAATAAAAAATTGACAAAGATGAATATATTGATTAGTAATACATTATTAGAGAAGGTAAAATCATTATTTCAATTTTCATTTTTATTGATTAAAATTAATAATAGTTAAATAACATTAATTATGTATTTATTAATAAATATTACATACATTTTTATTACAAATTTAAAAAATTAAGCTGCATTTATTTTCTTATAACTAAATTCCATATGAATTTGTTGTTGTTTTTCCTGTTTGTATTTAATTTATGTTGTAAAATTTATTGAAACATTCAATATCAATACTTTTCGTCATTAATCCCTCACTAATCCAATTCTAAAATGGATTATTAATTTAGTCACATGAATCAATATCTTCTAAGAAGAGTTTGTAATAAGTAATGATCAATATTTAACAAAGACGAAAATATTCATAAACCCGCATTAAAAAATACAGCTAGAATAGTGACCATCGCAAGAAAAGGTAATATTAAAAAATTATAAAGAAAATGAAAAACATGATTATTTCAATTTTTATTTTTAATTATTTATTTATTGATAAATATTACATACATTTTTATTAAAAATTTAAAAAATTAAGCTGAATTTATTTCTTCAATTTATTTTTGTTAAAACATAAGTGAGTTATGGCAAACTAAATTCTATATGAATTTGTTGTTTTTCTTGCTTGTATTTAATTTATGATGAAAAATGTATTGAAATATTAAGTATTAATACTTTTCTTCATCAATCCCTCACTAATCCAATTATAAAATGGATTATTAATCCAGTCACATGAATCAATATCTTCTAGGAAGTTTTCAATTTTTGAAATATGTTCTAATAAGTAATGATTAATATTTGTATCCAAATTGAATTCATTTTATAGTTGAAAACTGTTAAAAACATAATATTTTTGTATTTATAATCTTAATATCTATTTTAAAATTAAAAATAAATTTTTCAAATAACTTTTAAACATCAGTGGTCAAAATTTAATTTTGTAGTTAATCATAATTTACTTAAATTCTAACTAAAAAATATACTTGAGATTGTTTTATATTTGATATTACACGTATAAAACAACGTACATTAACATATAAAACAACGTACAATGCAGTCGATATTACTTGAATTTCCATATTTGAGTTAATGTTCAAGTGATCCTTCCATAATAGCTTTAACTTTGGTAAGTCGATTAAAATAATTTAGAATCTTATGTAACAATTTGCTTATATCACATTTATTGTTATTTTCTAATACAAGGTTGCTTCGGGTTTCTGCGTGGGTGACCTGTAATCTTTGTCACTCGGGATTAATTGAATGACACTAATGACATAGTTCTAACCTTTACTAAAACTTTGTATATACTAAGGTTGCGCCGTCTTACGTGGCGTTTTAAACTAATAATTAATTGTCAAGCAACCTATGTATAATAATTAATTTAATTAGTCCACGGTTTCCTATTATGTATTCTTGCCGCAATTCAACTGAGGCCAATAAAGATTCAAATAGATTTATGATGCTATAAAAGTTAATTTATTTTATATTATATAATTTTATTATCAACCAATTAATATATTTCATTTTTATTATCTACTCTATTGTATTTGAGTGCATTTTCTCTATTTATTTACAATTTTTGGATCAATTTTGTTATTTTTATATAAATATATTCCATGGCATAATAAACAATTATAAAATTATAACTATATATATTTTTATCAATGAAATATTATTAATAGCAATTTTATGAGCTTTATAATGATTTAATCATGATAATTGTAAACTAACATCTGATTTATTTTATGTAATAGATTTGTAATTAAATTTAGTTTCCACTTAACTTTAATTTTATAGAAGTTTTTTCAATTATTTTTATAATTTACAATTTAGTCAATGAACAATGTATATAATCCTAAGAAGTATAACTATTTATTTTATTATATAAAAACTAGTTTATTATATAGTAGATTTATGATGATGCAATCATGATGATAAGTAATTGAGGTTACTCGATTTTTACTGATGACTATACTTTATCAAAGTGGTAATATCAATAAGCAATTTTCTATATTGTATAGAAATATATATACAATATGATTTTGTTTTAGTATTCAGTTGATGGTTAGAATTTTTGTAGAGATTGATGAAATGGTATATTCATGATATTGAAGATACAAATATTTATACAACTATTTTGATTGTAATAATCTCATTTGTGGAATATAATTTTTTAATAAATTCAGTTCGAAAGTCCGTTTTCGAAGCTCTAAAGATTTCATATTTAAACTTACATGTTAATAATTTATATAGTAAAGTTGTATACTAGAACGATGTAAATAAGTAACAATATTGTAATCCTATCATATTTATTGTAAAGAAAAATATAATCAATGCATAATACATACACAAAAATGTATCTTCACTTTCTCTGTTCGGAGAAAGCTGAGTAACTTAATAGAGACATGCAAAATAGAGGAGACATATAAAAAAATTAACAATCTCGTCAATATTTATATATTTTTCAATAAGAATTGATAAACTACCAATTGTAATCTACATCACGATGATGAAATGGAATACTAAATGGTGTTTTTTAGCTTTGAATTTTTTGTTTGGTAACCGAAATTTGTTTGGCAAACCACGTTTGAAGCTGTATTAACTGTTACATACTGTAGTTCATGACATTATTCAATATTATAGTGTTTTCTTTAGCAATACAAACACATAATACAATCAGAGTATCATTCAATAGCCCTTTGAAGCAGTTGACTATTAAAGAAATTTATATTATACGACTGAAATTCAATAAATTGATCAAATAATAAGAGTATCATAATTTCTGTTTTCATTCACAATAATAAGAAAACAAACAATATTAACTGCTTCAAAGGGCTTTTAAAGCTTTCTATTTTGCCTTTTAACTCTTTAATGTTTCACCTTTTGAACATGCCTAGCGGCATGTGGTACGATCATTATACCACCTTTTTTAATTGTATCTTAATTTTCTCGTATACGTCCAAGAAAGAGGAATTAACGTCTTCTCGTCAGGAAATTCTTTACAACTATAAATTGATTTCTTTATGCATATCAATTTTTATTATTATAAATACATTTTAAAAATTAATTTTTTTGTGTCTCTGGCTCTTAATAGAGTAAAATATATTATAGATTATTTTAAGATATTTTAGAGAATTAGGCAGTGACGTGCAAAAAATATATAGTAGTAATAGTATTCAGTTGGAATCCAGTATTAACGATTATCCTCAATCCCATATAGCAAGGATTTGATCATGCATATATTTAGATGCTCATTGGAATTATAACTTTCGTGCGGATTACGTCTGGAACGTTATCATGCATACGTACGTATGTATCATTGGTATTTGCGATAAATTAAGCGTGTAAATATATTAGTGTGCACAGGGATTTAGTGGAGCGTTCATAAACGGCTCGGTCAATGTTATTATTAAAGTATTAGCTTGTGTTTGTTGGAGCGATATTTTTTTGGTTAGTAACGATTCTGCCGAGCAAGCGCTATTCCCTAGGATCAATTTAATCCATTGTCCGAAGTAATTGTTAGATTTCCGTGTGCGCAGTCTGCATTTCGATAATGGAACCAACTAAACTCGTCGTGTGCACCAAAGACCCTTTTGCATCAAATCTCCGAAACGACACAGCTTCATCCGGTATTAGCGCAACCAGAGGATGGAATCAACTTGCCAACAGCTTGGTTCAGGCGACCATCCCTCGATGATGAATTTTATTACTACGCTCTTTGAACTTTTATTAATCCCGGCAACTTTATTACCAACAACTTTATTAATTTTGCACTCCAGTAAGCAGCAAATTGATTAAGAGCGTTCACTCCACTTTTTGTTGTTGTGCTTTGACGCTGGAGATATTTCAACTTACAATCAACTTACTTAATCTCATTATTTTATATTGTTTTAAAGAACATTAATTAAAGACCTTCATCACCTTGTACAACAAAAAATAATTTAGTTTTCATTGATTTTATATTTATACCAGTAAAAGTTAAGATGCAATCAACTTACTTAATGTTACAATTATTTTTCTTAACTTCAATAAATGAACTTAATGTACTATATATACAGAGCTATTATGTTTTTCTATATTTACTCAATGAAAAGGAATCTTGATTAGTCTATAAAATGTTTCAAAATTTATTTAATTCAACAAAATATGCACTATACCTCTTTAATGTTGGAGATATTTAAAAAGACAAATAACTCACTTAG